GCGGCGGGGGAGGAAACGGCGCCGCAGACACTTCTTGATCGCGAGCCGACCGACGTCGACACTGGTCGCCACCGAGCAGCGTAATGAATTGTTGTTGGTTTGCCGTCGTGTCTTTCTACCCGCGCGGCGTGCCGACAAGCTGCCGACCGCAGCGCTGGGTCATACCCGACTGCGCGGTGGCCTCACAAAGCCCTGACGGCGCGGCCTGGCGTGCCTCACCTGGCTTGCCCACTGCAATCAGACCGGCACGCCGGTCTATTGCAGTTGGTGTGGGATGAGATGGAGCGTTGGCGTGCTGCCGGGCAGAGCGGACTCGGGCAGACATGTAGTACAGTAGAGTACGCCCACCGCGGTGCCCACACTGCGTCACTGCGTCCGCCCACACTGTCTCACTCGAGGGGGGGAGCAGCTAAAGAGCCTACGGTATGCTGTAGGCTCTTTAGGAGCAGCTTCCCACATTCGTCGTTCAAAATTTGACCACATTCCACATTTAGGTGGCAAAAACGCCTGTAAGTAGGCAACATGTGTGGCAAAAACGCCAGAAATCTTGCACATTCTTGCACATTCACACAATCATTGTATACACAAAATTTTACAGGGGTAATACCTCGGTCTCACTGCGTTGAGGAAGTTCTAAGCCGCCACTGTTATTCAGTCTTTGGCCCACCTTCGGCGACACAGATGGAAGTAATCTTTTGCTATTTTGGCTATTTTTTCGTGCACTAAGATTTGCATTGCTACTAAGTACGGATCTATACACAGACTAGTGAATAACAAAGAGTACGTGCGACTTTGTGGGATAATAGAACAATTATCGCTTTTCGAGGAGTATTGCCGCAAAAGGTTGTCCGACCGGCAACGTGTAGAAGTCGTGGATCGGGCTGACTTTCAGCGGCTATTGCGTCCAATCCATGGCGAGAAATCGTACACCCTCTCGCGCAGTGTGCTGCGCGGGGCTGCGTGGCCCGCAGGAAGCGGAGCGCGCGAAGCAGGTGCCGCCGTCTGCGTCTCGCCGTCTCGCTCGCAGCCTCGCCTCGCCCCGAGAGAAAGTCGCGGCCAACGTTTCCGGCAAGGAAGTCGGCGCCAGAGTTTCTCGGGGGACGGGGATGGAATGGTGGCCGCGAAGGTCTTGCAGGCTTGCTATCCTTTTCCTTTCAAGGAATGCAGGGCTTTCTGAAGGCTTATTGCCGGTGGAACGCGGCGAGAGCTTCCTTTACCATTTCCTGCGAGGAATGCTGAGTGCTTTCTGAAGTCTGGAGGCTTGCCTTGCCTTGCCGCTGCAGGTCGACCATCCGGAGGCTGCCTGTCGGCTGGCGGGCTGGCTGGCTGGCTGGCTGGCTGAGTGATTCCACCGACTGCGGGAAGGCCTGCCGCCTCCCTGTACGAGAGAGACAGGCCGATACCTCCCCATGAGTGGGAGAGAGACAGCGGGTAGGCGGTAGGCCCATGGGTAGGCCTCCCGGGCCTCCCCGCAGTGCCCGGAATCACTCTGCTGGCTGGCTGGCAGGCCGTCTGGCTGGCTGGAGGCTGGCTGGCTGGCTGGCTGGCTGGCTGGCTGGCTGGCTGGCTGGCTGGCTGGCTGGCTGGCAGGCTGGCTGGCTGGCTGGCTGGCTGGCAGGCTGGCTGGCTGGCTGGCTGGCTGGCTGGCTGGCAGGCTGGCTGGCTGGCTGGCTGGCTGGCTGGCTGGCTGGCAGGCTGGCTGGCTGGCTGGCTGGCTGGCTGGCTGGCTGGCTGGCTGGCGGATGGTTAGGCTAGCGCCATACGTCTTCCTTCATCCCCCAGGTCCTTCGGTTTTCCTCCGCCCCGAATTTGTTTCGGATCCGTCACTGGCGACACGTTTCGCGGAGTGGCTCCCAGGTCGTCTTGCCTGCGAGTGTCTGTACTTGCAGGCGGTCTCATGTCGGCGTGCCCGTGTCCCCCGCGTGCCACGCGCGTGCCGACGTGCTCAGGACAACGTCTCTAACAAGCCGGCAGCGCCCCGGGGCACTGCTGGCTGGGGCACCGCGCGCCCCACCCACAGTGGAGAGGCTTGACTCGACACCGCCAGGGCACGCCACGCCACGCAGGGAGCAAGGGCACTGCGGAATCAAAAGTGCGGCGCGAGGGCCTGGCCGTGCCGCCGGCCTCACCGTTTCGCGCTCCGCCCTGGCCAAGGCCCTGCCGCCTCCTTGCCCTTGGCGCACCGCACCGCAACGCCCCCTTTTATCCCGGCCATAACTCTCGCCTTGACCTCATCTCCCTCGTGCTGATTCCAGCCGTTTCCCTCCGTGACGCATGCAGGCCGCGCTATTGCTGATGCGGCAATGTAGTGCGCTTCGTGCAGGACCATTTGGAATTCTGAACGCGCCGACCGGAGCGGGCCAATGCGCGGTTTCTGCCAGCGCGCCCAGCCAGCAAAAACGGGATTCTATGGAATGCCCCCGCAGGGCTTGCCGCCGCCGGGCCTCCGAATTAGCGGCATGCTGCGGAGGACGCTACCGGCACATACTATCGGGGTATCGGCAGGTCTGCGGGGCTGCCGTGCCCGAGCTTTGGACATCCACCCAGGCCAGGGCCGGCCAGGCCCCCGGCGGGGCCAGAGTCTTGGCCGTGCAAACAAGCCCGGGCTGGTCGGCTCATGCAGGTCGAAAGCCGGGGGCTTAGCGAACACTGTTGGCTATTTGGCCCTGGGGTCTCCGCTGGCTGGGTGGTCCAGGCTGGGCGGCGCGGCTAGCTCTCGGCCTAGGCCGCTTGCACGCGGTCTGAGGCGTCTCAGAGTGCCGTTCCAACTAGTTCACGCAAACTTGGCCGCCTCCAAGCAGCGGGCCGGGCAGGGCGGGCCGGGCAGGGCTCAGTCGGAGGCCCTGCAGTGCCCCAGTGTGGCCCCAGTGCGGCGCACGGAGGACTCGCCCTCGCGCACGCCCCACCTGGGGCACCTGGGGCCAAACTCGGACCCTTTCGGACTCGCGTAAAGCCTCTCGGGACAACAAGCGGAGCCCGGCCCGGAGTGGCGCAGAGCAGCACCGGCCAGGTCTCGGGCCAGGTCTCGGGCCAGGTCTCCAGACCCTCGAGGGTCGACCCCGCTCGGCCGAGCGAGGGGGCGGGGTCAAGAGGGTCGACTTGTTGAGTAAATTGATTTTGATCCCCCCGCTGTGCGATTAGCTCGGGACACGGTAAGAACCGGGCCGCCGACACAAAGCCGGGGTAATTATGTCTCAAATGAGCAAACGAGGGCCTCGCGAGGCGTCGCTGAGTGCAGGGCGGGCAGGGGCGGGCGTGCCCACCGCAACGCACCGCACCACTCCACCGCACCGCGGCACAAGGCTGCTTCCTGGAGCCGCACTCCCCAGAGTTCGGCACCTCTTCCCGAATTCCGTCTCGGATGAAGGAGGATGCTGGAGGATGCCGAGGGATGCCGGTGCCGCTCCATCCGGCGCCTTGTCTCCCCGGCCCCGTCTGAGCCACTTCCGGGGAGCACGGAGCACGGGCGTGCGGCGGATCGGCACAACTTCAGTCCCGGGGCAGAGAGCGGGGCGGAATCTGAACCTGAATGGCAACGTGCGCCGACAAAGGCGCGGACACAAAGGCGAGGCTGGGCACGCCACTAATGAACGGACAGAGACCGCGTGTCCGGCCGGAGCAAACCGCGCCAACACTGCCGTGTCCGGGGCGCACCGTGCCGCCGAATGGGGCGTCGAGGCTGGACCACACTGAAAAATCAAACGTGGTCTAGACCGCACCAAACGTGGCTAAACGTGGTCAAGACCACACCAACTGATGTGGTCAAAATGGCACCCATCTGACCACACCAGTGGTGCAGTCTGGACCACGTTTTGATTTTCAGTGCAGCAGGGCTGGACTTCGGGCTGGACGGACTAGCGAAACTGGCGAGAGGTATCGGACCGGGAAGGATCACTCAAGGAACGCACACCAGGCTACGCTGTCGGTCCGCACCGAGTCCACACTCCATACGGGGATCAAGACTGTGTCTCTGGCAAGGGGGGAGCTGTACTTGAAAGTTCTCCGTGCCTGCGAGTATGTGTGTGTGTGTGTGTGTGCGTTTGAGGGCGCGTGTGTGTGCGTGTCTTTTGTGACGGGCATGAGAGCCAAACGCACCTCCCGTGACCGGGACACGTTGCCGCGTTCCCTCCACTGCAGCTCCCGTTACCTTTGGTGCGAGCGGCGCTGGCGAGTCCCAGGCCCCAGACCGAGGTACTCCCGGCAGCCAGCGTGGGCCAGCGTGGGCCAGCGTCACAAAGGCACAGGGCCGGCAACTGTATTCAAATGCAGGCCCGGAATATTCATCAGGCACCTACAGCTTCGGGGCGCTCTTTTCCCGTGCGGGCCGTGGCTTGCTGGCTTGCCGGTTGCGTGCGAGAATTCAGCGCCGGGCCTTGGCGGGAAATTCATACCGAGCCGTTGAATCAATTATGCCGGGGCGACAATTACGGCGACTTAATGGCTGCGGGGAGCAAAATGATGATCGCTCTTTATGAATGAGTTGGCTGGACGCACGAGGCAGCGCAGCGCCGCCGTGCATGGGATTTTCAGGCGGCGCAGTTGTCGGAAGTGTGTGATCTCGGGGGGAATCGAACGGTTGTAAATCATTAGAACTGGTGCTTATTCTTTTTCACATCTCCTGTGCGATCTCGGGGAGCCTTCCCGTTTTCTTTTCGCCACTTTCTGTTTGAAGGCCATGCGTCGCATCCGTTCCGTGCTACAAGCTCCTATCTTAACTTAATTGGTCAACAACAACAGTCTATCTCTATGCGCTACTATCAACAACATCCTGTCTGTATGCGCTATGGATGGGAGATAGGGTGTTGTTGACGATACCAAGTAGGAGCTTGTTGCACGGATGCGACGCATGGAGCCGACAACGTGTGATTCCGAGGGCCTGAACGGCAGCATGTCGAGTACCCGCGCGCCCGGGGCTATTAAACACTCGCACTCGACACCCCATCGCATTGTCATTTAATTACCTCGTCGGCCCCGCTAATGGAAAACTTTGTTTGTTTCAGCGCACATTAACTACATCCGGAAGAGAATAGGACCCGACCACGTCGGGGTTGGCGGCGACTTTGACGGCGTGAATAAGTGAGTCCAAACTCGCAGCGCAGCACACCGGGAAAAGGGGAGGTGGGGGGGGATGTTTTCCTTCTTGCTCCTCATATTGCCGGCGGCGAACTTCCGTCCGTATTTGCACTGCGGGGGGACAGGCGTCCGCCTCGGCGTCCGCCGCGTGTGCTCACTGTAAGTTGTTGCAGGACGCCGCAGGGGCTGGAGGACGTGTCGCGCTACCCCGACCTGTTTGTGGAGCTGCTGCGCTCCGGCAACTGGACGGGGGCCGATCTGCAGAAGGTGGCGGGCCGCAACCTGCTGCGGGTGCTGCGCCGCGTCGAGAAGGTGAGCTGGGGCCGCCGGGCCCGCCGGGCGCGCCGATGGCTAATTTAAATTGAAAATCGAGGAGGGAGGGGAGGGGAGGGGACGGACGGGTCTCACCGGGCCGGCCTCCCCGGGGCACACTCCGCTCCGCGCAGCTCCGCGCGGATGTGAAGTGGTGTGTGGCGTGGCCCAGCTCGGCCCCGGGGTCTCTGTGGGTAGATCACGCGGGGTGGCGCGGGGCGGGCGGGGCGCGCTGGGGCGGGGCCGAGAGCAATTCATCTTGATCAGCGCGGAGGTGAGGCCGGGGGCCGGTCCGTAAATCAAGCCCACTAATAGACTGGCGGCCGATCCCCGCGCTATCTATACTCATCTGCGGCCCCGCGCCCGGCCAGCAGCCCGAGGCCAGTCCGAGGCCAGTCCGAGGCCAGTCCGAGGCCAGTCCGAGGCCAGTCCGAGGCCAGTCCGAGGCCAGCCCGAGGCCAGCCCGAGGCCAGTCCGAGGCCAGTCCGAGGCCAGTCCGAGGCCAGTCCGAGGCCAGTCCAAGGCCAGTCCGAGGCCAGTCCGAGGCCAGCCCGAGGCCAGTCCGAGGCCAGTCCGAGGCCAGTCCAGGCCAGTCCGAGGCCAGCCGAGGCCAGTCCGAGGCCAGCCCGAGGCCAGTCCGAGGCCAGTCCAAGGCCAGTCCGAGGCCAGTCCGAGGCCAGTCCAAGGCCAGTCCGAGGCCAGCCCGAGGCCAGTCCGAGGCCAGTCCAAGGCCAGTCCGAGGCCAGTCCGAGGCCAGTCCGAGGCCAGCCCGAGGCCAGCCCGAGGCCAGTCCGAGGCCAGTCCGAGGCCAGTCCGAGGCCAGTCCGAGGCCAGTCCGAGGCCAGCCCAAGGCCAGTCCGAGGCCAGCCCGAGGCCAGTCCGAGGCCAGTCCAAGGCCAGTCCGAGGCCAGCCCGAGGCCAGCTGGCGGTTTCACTCTTCGAGCTCTCCCGATGCACTTCTTATCCATTCGTGCCTCCAGTGCCAGGTGGCCGCAGTTCTGGGCGCGTTTTGAGCTAAGCTCGCGAAGATCAAGTTTGTTACTTTGAACGAGAATAGTGGGACGTCTCACTAAGAAGTGGAAGACACTATAAGGAATCTCAAAAACGTGTCCACAGTTTTCCCCATCTAAACTGCTATCCGCCGGCCCACTGTCTCCGTGTACTCCCCCGCGCGCTCGCCCCTCCAAAGGAGGTGCCATGGCACGGCCCGCCGCCCTGGCCGCGTCGCCGTGGCAGTGTCGTCGCCTCGGGGGCCTCACCACTCTTTGTGTCGTCACGAACACTGGGGCCGCGCCGCGGCGAGGGTTCGCTCTGTTCCCGACATGACGGTCTTGCCTCTTCTGCCGCAGGTTCGCGACGAGATGCGCGCCGAGGGCGTGCTGGCCGCCGACGACGTCCTGGAGCCGGTGGACCCCGTGGGGCCCAAGGGCGGCCACGACGGCCGCTGCGTCTTCGACATGTCACTGTTCAGCGACGACGAGAGGGCGCGCGAAATTTAAATCGTTCTCCCTGGTTCTCCCTGCACGCCCCGCCCTTTCCCCCGCCGGTGCTCTTTGACACTTTTGACTGATGCGTTCAATAAGGCCGCGCCCGCGCTTCTACAAGAAGAGGCTTTCAAACAAAATAACTCCGGCGGGCGCGGCGCCGGGACTCCACGACCAGGTGCTGGAACTGACGGCCTCGACTCAGCCTCGACGAATATTCTTCTTTTGGCCTATGGAAATTCGGCATAGCCCGCTGGACGCGACCAACCGCCACTTGTATTGTGTATAGTTCGTTTCCAGAATGTGTGGTTATCTCCTTTTGACTGCTAAATACTTCTTTAGTGGATGTCTGTGTTATCATTTTTCAATTCATTTAGGGACCATTAAAAAATGTTCCGAGAAGGATGCGATGTTGAGGTGACGGTTGTGCCAATATGTGGGGGCGAAAGAGATTCACGATACACCTGGAACATGATCCCCAAACCAACTACTAAGTGTTTATAAGTGTGCTTAGTTAAAGACTAGTTTTCCCATACAGTCGACTATTTCCCTGTAGATTCCATTCGGTCGAAGTTTCATCTTCTCCCCCTCTCCCCTGTACCTACCCTATAATAGCTGCTAACTAATTTGGCATTTCAATCTTCTTATCCTTCTCTGAATAAAATTCTTATTCTATTTTGATATCAAAATATGTGATGTTAATTTTAAGTCAAATGATTCTAGAATTATGTGTATGATCTGCGTTATGTGCCATTCGTTATATCTTACTAATTTTATGTTCTGTTCTTTGTCCTTTGGTTTCTAAAAAAATGTTTATTTTCATCATTAAAAGTACATTTTCTGAACTGAAATTCGAGAAAAAAAAATTACAATCCTAGTATGTAAATTATTTAATTAAGGAGACGCCAACGGCGTTTAACTTTGAATCTGTGTCTGTTCGTTATTGTGTGTGAATGTGAGCGTGGGTGGAACCCTTGCCCTTGCAATATTCAATAAACCCAAAAGTCCACTTGTGTGTTGTGATCTCCGCGACCCCCGCCCCCTGCTACACTGCATTCTATGCATTCTCGAGGAAATTGCTTGCCCCACCGCGGCCGCGCCAAGCCCGCCGCGAAAGCCACGCCAATTCCAGCCGGACGACTTGTTTTGCTGAAGGCGGCACGTCCAGACGTGCCTCTATGAAAAGTCCAACAGGGAGGGGCAGGGAGGCGAACCCAGGACCTCATAAACTTTTATGTCAGAGCGAAGGTACACGCAGCTCTGAGCTATGACGACACGGCGCGCAGTGAGCATGCGCCAAAGGCGAGGCCAAAGGCAGCCAGACACTGGCGATGCTTTGGAAAGGTTACGCCGACCTGGACCCGAGGCTGGGGCTGGGGGGCTCAAGGCTGAGCCGCCGACCCGGTGGAGCATGCCTCGGTTTACAGCGTCAATTTGGGTCAGACTGGACGTAACGGTGCTGTGTCATGCTGTCCCGTGCTGTCCCTCGAGGACAAGGACAGGGGTCAGGCTCTTCGGACGGGTCAAGGAACGAAGCAAAGCTAAGCAAGGCGCAGCAAAGCCAGTGGCCGCACTGACGGCTGACGGCGCCCTGGCCGCCCTGGCCCTCGACAAGAAGGGCACCCTGGCGGCTCCTTGTCGGGGCGCTTGCTGGGCCTGGACGGCCCTGAGGACGCAGGCCAAAGCCCAAGGCGGCCCAAGCCCACAACACCGCGCTCGAACTCATTTTATTTAAAATTCAAATGGATGCGTAAGGCCGTTTGCAAACAGAATTATACATCGGCCCCAGAAGCAGGCAAAAAAGAGAGGATCTTAAAAGGAAAGACAAGAGGACGCTGCTGCCTGTCTTGCGCGCCGGAATAAGACGCGACAAGTGTCGCCTGGAGATCGTCCGCCAGTTCAGCGCGATCGTCCGCCAGTTCAGCGCGTCCTTGGAGGGCCGAGGCGACGCGTGGCGAAGCGTGGCGCTGCAGAGAGAGACAAGTTGCTGAGATATCGTAATAACAGGCGAGATGAAAGAGGAAGGGCTCGCTCGCGTGCCGATGGTTGTTCGGGGAAGAGGTTGAGCGAGGTGGGGCATTTGCATAGAGCGCCCAGCCCCGCCCCGCCCCGCCCCGCCCCGCCCCCGTCCCGCACCCCTCTGCACCTGCACGGCCTTATTAGAATTCCCAGACTATCATCAAGCCGGTGCGACGGACAGCACCGGCGACGGTTCGGTCCGCGGCCCGGAGAGTACACTACCTCTTTTTGCTCCTTTTCGTGCGCTCCTCTTCTCGTCACTGAAATGCGGATGTCTCCTAAAAACACTCGCAGCCTGGAGCAGCCCCGACCAGCCCCCGTCCCGCTCGCCCTGAAGCGGCCCCGCTCCTGGGTAACCCGATAATGCAGTCTGCAGCCAGGGGCGGCCAGGGGCGGCCAGGGGCGGCCAGGGGCACGCACCCGTCCGCCACAGCTTCGGCCGCGGACGGCTTGGCTGACGCGTTTGTTTAATTAAAAGCCCCCTCACGTTGGAGGGGATCGTGGAGGGGCTGCTGGCGGAGTCGGGCGGAGTCGCCCCGGGGGAGCAGGGCGCCGCGCCGCGCCGAGCACACCAGCAACTAGTACTTCTCGGTTATTGGCACGCAGGCATCACGACGAGGCCCTCGAGCCCTGCGAGTGCTTCTCCCGTCCGGGGATCGGACGCGCCAACTACTCAAAACAAATTGCGCCAGGCCGCCTTGCCTCTCACGACTCCGACGGAGGCGGGAAAGGGGGGGGGGAGGTTGATGGCACGACAAAAGTCGGGCCGTTCGGCGGAACTCTTCGCGTCGCCAAATCAAAGTGGCAGCTTCAACACGCTTCACCACGCTTCACCACGCTTCACCCCGCTTCAACTCGCTTCACCCCGCTTCACCCCCTAAGCCGCTTCAACCCTCTTTCACCCGCTTCGCCTCGCTTCGCCCCTCTTCATCCCGCTTGACCACCCCGCTTCACTCCGCTTCACCCCGCTTTACCTCGCTTCACCCCGCTTCACCTCGCTTCACCCTGCTTCAATCCGCTGCAACCCGCTTCACCCCGCTTCACCTCGCTAAGCCGCTTCAACGCTCCTTCACCCGTTTTCCCCGCATCACCCCACTTCACCCCACTTCACCCCTCTTCATCCCGCTTCACCCCGCTTCACTCCGCTTTACCTCGCTTCATCCCGCTTGAACTCTCTTCATCCCGCTTCACTCCGCTTCACCCGCTTCACCCGCTTCACCCCGACTTGCTCCGTTTCACCCAGCCTTCGACTACTGGAATGGAAAGTGCCAATGCGCTGGTAGCGGAACCGCCCGGGCACGCCCCCATCCGGGCAAGCAGCGTCTCCCCGCCTCTCGCCCGCCGTCCAGACAGTCAACACCGAGCTCTCGATTCACCACCCCCACACTCTCATCCACCGAATTCAATCATTTTCTCAATATCTTTGGTAGATTTTAGTATGTCTGCTGACGAATGTAGTTTTGTTGTGTCGAATGTTAGACAAAATTGTCTACACGCTCGGACAAGAATAAGACTGTATAGTTCTCACAGCCCCCGCACCATGACAAAAGCGAGCCAGACTGCTCACGAAAAAAAAACGCACTTCACTAACGACTATGCCTGTGGCCATGGCTTCGAGCCTGGGTAAGCAGCAGCAGCAGTCAAAGGACACCCGTGAATGCCGCACAAAAAAATTAACTTTGTGAAAAACGTAAAGTTTTTCATATTGTGGTAAGCAGGCAATGGGCGAGACGTGCCTACACTGAAAAACCAAACGTGGTCCAGACCGCACCACTGGTGTGGTCAGATGGGTGCCATTTTGACCACAACAAATGGTGTGGTCTAGACCACGTTTGGCCACGTTTGGTGTGGTCTAGACCGTACCCCAAACGCACCAAACGTGGTCTAGACCACACCAACTGATGTGGTCAAAATGGCACCCATTTGACCACACCAGTTGCGGTCTAGACCACGTTTGGTTTTTCAGTGTATGTGCACGCGTCGGCACGCGTGCATCAAACACGCCCGCACGCACAAACACACGAGAGAGCGTACTGTGCGGAGCTCTGGAGCAAGCACTGAAGCGTTCCGATCCGGGCAGCGAAGGGTTTTCGCTGTATTGGCGCTGTCATCCTCATCGGCTGGGCGGGGCTGGGCCCCCCTGTCGGCGGCTGATCATAAGGGAGAGGGAAAAGAGAAACTCGATATCGCTGCCTCTCTCATTTGTCTCTTCTTTTTTCCTCCCCTTCCCCGGGCAGCCCCGTCATCGCGGGAGGCGCACTGCCGCGCGGCCCGTGACTCTGATTGCCGTGTCTGTCTCCCCTTTCTCGCACAAGTCGGCGCGTGATTCGAAGGATTCGCCGTCACCTGCGCGGCCCCAGGTCGGCCCCAGGGCCGGGCGGTGATTGGATTACGGATTGGCAGTGTGGCCGCGCCAGGTCGTCGTCGTTAGCGCCAACACAAAAATCGAAGAAAGCAGATTATTAATAGGAAAAATGAATGGGGGGAAAATCGAGAGCAGTGAAACGTCTAAATTGAATTGGCCGTGCCATTCTCGCGTCTCTCATCCTCCTCGTCTCGCGTCGAGAGTCGCCTCGATTGATTTTTAAAACGGGTCTCTTGCGCTGACGCTATTTTCCACCTCGCCGTCGAGAGCAGGTTGACACTTTCGTATATTGTTTCGTGATTTAGGACCGCAATATTCTTGATTATTTATTAAACAGTCTGCCCAAAGCCACGGAAATCCTAAAACAGTGGACTTTAATCAACTGTCATTGAGTGAATTTATTTTTTCTGTGAATTAAGTCAGAGGGGGGAATGGGGTAAAACGGGAGAGGGGCATAACGCTGGCTGTGGGTGGGTTAATGTCGCGGGGGCTTTCCCGGGTGCGTTTCAGATTAGACTCGTGATAAAGTAGTTTGGATTCAGCGCGGGGCTGCACCGAGGCGGGCCGCAGTCTGGCACGCTGGCCCGGCCAGGCCGACCGCGCTGTGTTGTGCTGCTGTGCGTGCGGGGCCCCGCGGGGGGCGGCGGTGTGGGTCGGGATGGGTGCGGGGCCGTGGGGCCCGCAAAGGACCAGGGACATTTTGGCGCACTCTCATTCCAGGAACGTGACATCACGTTGAAACGAACGTTCGTTTGAGCATTGTGTCACATGCGTTTGAATGTGAACAAGCTAATTTTAGGCGGATTCACGCCAAACGTTCGTTTCAACGTGATGTCACGTTCCTGGGAAGAGAGTGCGGATACTGTTTGAGCTGCGCAATCCTCAAATGCGGACCCACAGGAACCTTCACGAATTTGAGCCAGAATCCCGCCTGAAAGTGCCTCCTCGCGCCACGCTCGCCCCTGGAGAGCGAGCCGCTCTGACAACGCCACAACGGCCGGCGGGAGGGGCGCGTGATTGATTAGATGAAAAATTAGGTTCCACGAGATTGCTTGTTTTATCTTCTGGGGGACTCATCTGGGGCACCCGGCGACGGGCCCACTTCCGGCATGGAGCGGACGGCCGGGCGGCGGGGCGGCAGCAACGGCGGGCAGCTAAAGCATACAGCGGCAGGCCCCAGGGACGGGCCCAAGGGACAGGGGTGGGACGCCACAATAAAGGCTCTGCAAAGGCTTCTCTCGATTACAGTATCGCAAAGACCGCGCGAGAAAAACTTGCCGTGGCCGGCTGCGCCAATACCCCCCCCCCCTTTCCCCTCCCCCCCTTGCGACTCTCTCCCTCACTCACACTCGCCCGGTCTCTGCCCTACTCATCTGTCGGAGTGGCCGGAGGGCGAGAATAACTAAGATTGACACTGGCCGAGTGTCCGTCGAGGAGTCGGGTCGAACAGAGGCCCGCTCTTCGGAATGCGATGCCGGCCTGCAAAAAGAGGAGGTGGGGGAGGCTGCGAAAGAAGGGCTGGCGATTAATTAAAGGGCACGGCATGGCACGGCGTGGCACGCCGCAGAACGGGTTCCCCCGTCCGGACCATGATTAAAGATTAGCTCCTCACGCCGAGGCCAAGG